GCCGCCCCGGGCGGGTTTGGGGGGGAGGGGGGGTGCTCCGCTGTCCCCTCAGCGGTTGGTCGCCTGTGCGTGCCTGAAGCGAGTTCACTTTTTTTGCCCTCGTGGCCCTCGAATAAAAGGCTGTAAAGGCCGCGAGAGTTTGTTTTGTTTTGTTGTACTGAGCTAAGGACATCGCCCTGTTTGTCACGCTGTCGCAGGCTGCCGCCGAGTGATAGTACCGTCTCCAAGATCTCTTCGGCGGTGCTGTCTGTGAAATGCTGCCGCCGTGCCACGTTGTTGCGGGTTGAAAACGTTAGTGTCCTCTCGGCGCGGACCGCACCAAGCAAGGCACCCGCAGGCCTGACTAGCTGCAGAAACAAGCTGCTAGTGAGGAGCAATTGCAGCCTCGTGGGACTGACCTGCCAGAAACACTCGTTTCCACCTCTCCTTCCTAAACATTGCAGCGACTTGTATTAAAACACACACACACACACACGGGGGATGTCCATATTCCGAATTACAAGAACAAGGGCACTGGGGCAGCATGAGAGCAGCCGGATGCTGGTCTGAGTCTGCAAACCGGTGCTATCTGCAGCTCCAGTGTAATGATGTTGAGGAAAGTTTGGTGGTACAAAAAGTACCCCCAGAAATAAACCAGAATACATACACACACACACACACACACAGACACACACACAAAAAAAGTAGTTATTTAATTCCAAGAGAAGGTGCCTCACAGAAATCCTTGAAGCCCTTCTCAGAAGTTGGGTGCGATCGTTGTCAGGGCGGACGATGGCCGTACTCCTCTCCGCTGTTGTCACTGGGGCTTGCCGCAAGGGATGGGCCTGCAAGCAGTGGAGGGGACTGCAAGAAATCTAAGATAATACAAAGGTGAGGCACGTGTCTGAGGATAACCAAAAAACTATTCAGCTCAGTGAAAAAATACCAGGCAGAGTAGGTGTCTGCCATGCCCTAATTTCTCTGCGGCCTCCCAGACCCCTTTTCCCTCCAGCTGAGCCAGCTGCAAGGCAAGTCTCCTGTTTATTCATCTTTCGCCCCTAGGAGCAACCAACCCTATCTCTTCCTGCTAAAATGGCTTATCGGTGAAATAGTTCCAGTATCTGATTATCACTATAGGTACATAGAGTTGGCACACGGTGAAGAAAAAAGAGGGTGGTAAGGTCTGGGCTACACTGTGCCATCCAAGAAACAGATTCACTTCACGCTTGCAAGGATGTCATAATAACCATAACACAAATAAATCAAGCGTAAGTTTGCTATCAGTTGATAGCGAGAGAGAGAGGTGAGAGAGTTGGCAACAAAAAGCGTTGGCTGAGCATACTACAGGATTTTGCAAGCGATAGGTAGTACACTTCTCAGCACCTGCCTATAGATCTGTCTGGATTAAAACAAAGAAATACACTTAGGGAACCGGTGCAGTGATTTGCAAGGGCAGGCTTTAACAAAAAAGTGCTTTGTGTATTCCAGAAGAATTAACTTAAGTCACCTCCCAAAACATCTGAAGACAAGGTCTGTCTGTCAACAAATTCTGGCAACCTGGGTTTAGATTTCTGAGAAGCAAATTTGTCTAAACAGATATGAATAAGAGAATAAAAGGCATGACAGCCCAATGCAAGTCCTAAAACTTCAATAAAGTTTGGGTCAAATAGTGGAGGAAAGGAAGATGTAAATCTTTAAACTGGCATCTATTCATGAATCTGAAACAAAATCAAGCCAGATTCTTGCAAGGAAAGATTATCAAAACATTTCTTTGTTTGGACAAGAAAGCAGAATATTAGTCATGAACAAGTAATTTTTTTTTAAGACCACAAGATCAGAAAGTAACTTTTTCCAAGATTATTGTAACGGTAGGAAAATGGCAAAGAACAAACCTCAAGAAGTAAATTTCGTCTTTCCCAGCATTATCGGTGACAATTATTGACAAAATATAATTTTATAATAAATACTGCTGTCAGATTCCCATGTCTGAAACAAAACTCTATAGGAAGGTTTGGAGAAGGGAAAACTAAAGATTTAGCAATGCCCAAAGAATTATAATAAAGTTCAAGAGGAAAAGAAAAGCCTGAAAGCCAAATTAATCAGTAACTCTGTCAAGTGTACAAGTAACCAATGGAAACTGATGCAGCAATAGAGAATTGTGAACCAGTTAGAAACAGTAACAGAGATGCTCTGGAAAAGCTGAGACTGCACATGGAGAGGAGAGAGGAGGGAAAATAGATAGTACAGAGTAAGGAAATTAATCATCTTTATTTTAGGGGAAACGAAAAGCAACTGCTGATTTTTTAGTTATCCGTTGAATATTTTCCTGTGGTAACAATATATTCACGGCATGGAAGACTAAATATGCAAACAACCTAATCGAAAGTTAATATTACATAAATCCGTAATAAAGATATCAGTCTAGCAAAGCCAAGTACTCAGATTAGTCAATGGCCAGATTAAGCGAGTGTCATTTGAATTAAGCCATTTATGCGTATACATTATGCTATGGTAATTGGACGATCACAAGGGATTCCATAAACATACAAACACAAGTTTCTGTATTTATTCAGTATTCAAAAAGGACATATTCATTAAACAAGCCTCTGTGCAAAGCATGGTTTTAAATCCTCTTCGCTGTACTCTCTCCTCGTTCTGAACACAGTCAGAATCACCAGTTTCTTCATATTCCTTTTCTGTGGCACTTACCACTCTAGTATGAGGCGTTCACACACATCTGCTTTTCACAAAACCCTTAAGAGATAATTGGGCAGCTTATCTGCCTTTCAAGTGGTAAAGAGAAGCGTGTGGATCTTAAGGCAAAATATAGCCACTGATTCTGAATATGCAATCAGAACCAAAGGCTTAATACTTCTGAGAATGTAGCACTGTAACCTTTCACAATCAGGCAAGCGCCCATTGATTTCGGCTGAGAGGCGAACAATTTCTGCAAGTCACACCCCAGCATCTCAAGTCAGGTACCTGGAAAACAAGGACACGTGCCTGAGTGTGTCTTAAAAGTTTGGATAAACGATTTAATGAGCACACTACATGATATCTCTGAGGCAGTACTAAGGGCAGAATCAGATTCAAAGCTGTTTGAAAGACTTCAGAGGCAGTAGTTTTCTGAAGACAAGCTGTCGTAGCAGACTGTGAAAGCTTTACCACAGTGCATTGTTTAACTTTTGATCGAAGCCAGGCAGAAAGACAATCCATATGCTGCGTGACAAACCAACTAGACAGCTCCGTTTCCTGCCATGCCATGGGCAAGAAAGCAGGCTGTCCGCTGGCTGGGAGCCCAGCTAGTCACTATCCAGTCTGTGGCCTGACTCATCGTCTCGCTGACGTACTCAGTGAAGAATAGTTTCTCATGCTCCTGCAATACGGATAGATAGGCCTGTTCTTGTTCAGCTGCAGAACAGAAA